TTTTTTTTTTTTTTTTTTTTTTTGTGATATCAATTCTTATGGAATTTTCTTGTCTTGTATGAGTAATGTTGGTATGCGGAATGCCAAGACTTTGTGGCAGTGCTGTTTTTGTTCTAGTCGTTGGGAAACTCTTATTTAATTTCCCATGCATTTAGAGACTAAGATTCATGATGAAATAAAACATAGATAATTTGCTGATTGAAATACTCTTTCTCTCTCTAAACAACCTGTTTGTTTGGTTTCTGTGGATGACTTTATTGTTCTCTTTCTTGTCTCAATATATATTCAATTAATGACATAGGTTCCCCTTATCTTTGTATTTTCTCTTGCCCTTTTTATTTATTTTGACATTTTGAATGTTTCAGAAGCAAAGAGAGCCACCAAAATTCCCTTGCAAGGTGGAGACAGTCCTAGATAGGATCAGTAGCCTACCAGGCCATCTCATAGATAATTTTTTGTCACATTTGCCTGTTAAGGATGCAGTCAGGACAAGTGTTTTGTCTAGGAAATGGAGGTATAAGTGGGCTACAGTTCCAAGTCTTGTGTTTGATACCCAGTGTTTAGCTGCCTCTTCCCTAGATCCAGCTCTGATCAAGAACAAGCTTGTTAGCATTGTTGACCATGTCCTCCTACTTCACAATGGCCCCATACAGAAGTTCAAACTCTCTCACCGAGATCTACTAGGTGCTGCTGACATAGATAGATTCTTTCTTTATCAAGAGGCTCTATCAAAGAATTCATACTTGAAATTTGGAAAGGACAACGGTACAGGCTGCCTTCTTGTCTTTTTAAGTGCCAGACTTTGGTTCATTTGGAGCTATTTAATTGCTTGCTCAAACCTCCACCAACGTTTGAAGGCTTCAAGAATTTGAAAAGCCTTGATCTTCAGCACATTACCATTGCCCAGGATGTGTTTGGAAATCTAATTTCTGGTTGCCCATTGCTTGAGAGATTGACTTTAATGAACTTTGATGGCTTCACAGATCTCAACATTGATGCACCAAATCTGCAATTCTTTGATGTTGGAGGTGTTTTTCATAGTGCTAGTTTTAGAAACACCTTTGATTTAGCTTTAATTTCCATTGGTTTGTATGTGAATATCAATGATATAGATGACAGACGCAAATCAGATGAGAGTTCTAGTAAACTGCTCAGATTCTTTGCTAATCTGCCTCACCTTTGATGACTGGAGGTTCAGAGTTACTTTTTGAAGGTAATGTTGCTAGTGGCATCATAATTAGGAAAACTTCATGAAAGTTTTGCAGTATTCTTTCAACAACATAAGTTATGCACTTCTTTGGTGATTCTATTGATTCTCAGATTTGTACCTGGATTGTTTATATTTCTTAAATTATAGTTAACTTTTTCAATGGGGATGCCCATATGCTGTTTCCATTTATCCATTTGGAATCTAAATTATATGCCTTGGTTAGTATTTAGCATCATTTGAGGTGCTAATTTATGCATGCATTAGATATTGAACAAACATGTAGGGTTCTATGTGGGTTCTCAAATTGGTGCTATTATTTTTTCTACATCATCTGAATGTCTTTTCTGTATCATTCAACTCTTATAGGATTCTGCAAGAACCAAATTATGTACATCTTCCTATCAATGTTTTAGAATTTGTACCTTGTAGAATTTTCTTTTGAAGTATTCCTCAGTTACTGATATGCATTTTTGGCTCCTTCTCAATGTCTGTATGCCTTCTCATTTTACCTCAGTTTTTATATTTTAATTTATAAGATGCTTTTGTTTTATTTTCCTGTTGCAGTATTTGGCTTGTGGCAATATACCAAGCAGGTTACCTAACAGGTGCCTTGATCTGAATTATCTCTCTATATGCATAAATTCAACGATTTGTACGAAATTGTAGCCGCTCTATCCCTGTTTAAAGTTCTCCTAATCTCCGAGAGCTAGAGGGTTTGGTAAGTTTGTTTTATTTACTCACCTGAATTTCTATCTTTTCTGCATCACAATATTTTGGTGCAACTATCTGAATTTCTATCTTTTCTGCATCACAATATTTTGGTGCAACTATCTGAATTTCTATCTTTTCTGCATCACAATATTTTGGTGCAACTATCTATCACATCAATCACTTTACATAGAGTTTTTCTTTGGGGGATCAGTAAAATCCTAATACATTGTGCAGGGTCACCCTGAGGAACAACCTACTGCAGGACTATTCACCAACATTTTGGTAGACTACGTCTGGAGCTCACTGTTCTCCCATCTGCGAGTGGTAAAGATATTCAGCATTTCTGGAGTCAAAGCCGAACTAGAATTCATAAACTTCATGCTTTCAAACTCTCCTGTTCTTGAAAGAATGACTGTGAAACCTGCCTCTCTGGATGGGAGCTGGGGATTCGTAAAGGAATGGCTGCGATTCAAGCGAGCCTCCATACATGCAGAAATCATTTATTTAGACCCATAAATATCTGTTAAGTATCATTTATTTAGACCCATAAATATCTGTAAGTATCTTTCTCTGGATTGACCTGTATGGCAGATTCTTGTTAAGGAATAGTAACATATTTTTCTATTGACTCTGAAGACTTGCATGATGGAGAAGGGTGGTTGGTTTTTTTATTTTTTATTTTTTGGCTCAGCAAAAGGTTGATTTCTAATGCAAATATTGGTTGACCAACCAAATTTTGGATTGAATTTGAGAATTTGTTATGCATAGGTTTCCCAACGTTAGTTAATTTTTTTTTGAAAAAAAAATAGCATCAAAAGAAACGAAAAAAATTAAGAGGTATTAGCATTAAAAATATTAAGATGTGAAATTACACTCATCAAATAGATTAGACATAATTGAGATTCACATTATGACTTAATTAAGAAGTGTTGACCTATAATCATAGATTTTTTAGTTTTGTAATATGTTAAAATATATAAAATATATTTAATATTTATTTTGATTAGTATTTTATATATTTTTAAAATAATAAAAACTCATAAAAATCAAAATATAAGATATCAAAAATTATTATCAAACGAAATATATGTCTCACATAAAAAATGAAAATAAAAATAAAAAAAAACTATGCGTTGAATCCCTACCTAACAGCCACGTAGCCATTTTTGGACCGTCGGGCCAGGAACAAACTTTAAATTCAATCCCCCATGTCACGTGCGCCTGCCACGTAAGCAACTTCAATAATTTTTTAAAAAATAATTTAAAAATAATTTTTTTTATCATTTTTTATATAATTTTACTTATTATTTAAATAATTAATTTTTTTTATTTATTTATTATCTATAATATTAAATATATTTACTCATTTAATAATATATAAAAATTATAAAAAAATATAAAAAATTTGTTTTTATATCA